TTTATATTATTGGCTTCGCATCTCACGTATCTTAGAAGTTTCGGGACAGTTGATAACGAGTCGGAAAATTATCCTATAGAGAAACTATTACACGTATTTTACGAACTTTTGTGTTATGAATTCAATAATATTAACAAAAAAAAACTAAAAATATTTGAACGCACTTGACCGGTTTCAAGAACACGTATGTAGATTTGCGCAGGTGTCCGTCGAGGGGGGGGTCTTATCTACCCCTCATGGAATTCTATTTGCCATAGAGTCGATGACCATGTCGCAGAGATGGGTTACGAGGGGAATGAACGCATTGTTACTGTTCTTATAAGTGTTGAGAACAAACATCACTTATATATACATTCAATACATATAGAAACGTCGATATAGCTATGGACATATAATATATATTATAATCATCAAAAGAGCCAAGAGAATTAAAAAAGTAAAAGTCGACCCGAAAAAACTCAAGAAAAGATCCAAAGAAAGCCATACTATTGAAATTCAATCAACAGACGGAGCTGTGCTCGTGAATAGGGAAGTCTTTAGAGGGGCCCGTTTTTTTTGGGAGCGCGTCGCGTGCGCCGGCGCACCTCGTCACAATACCCCCACAGCACGGTCCTGTATCCCATACAATCCCATCCTTTAAGCGGTCGTTCAACTCGCCGGCTTTCATGGGATAAAAATCGCGAGGGTACCCTCCAGTGAGAGTGGGGTCCACTCGTGTAATTATTTCATCCACGAATACACACAAATTATATGTCAGTGACAATGAGGTCCCTTCACCTCACTTTATAATTATGTTTTATATATTATCGCTCTCATTATGGCCGATACATTTCATAATTGTACAACACCTGTTCGTATAATCTAATCTGTTGATGATGGCAAAATCTTAATGATGTGTCATTGGAAGACAACTTCACGAGGTATCCCGGGCATTTTATTCACAGGGATTAACAGGATTCATCAAATTTGACAAAAAACTACAATCCAGTCTCAAACCATATATACAAGTCAGAACCCTGTTTAATTCCAGGGTTTATAATTCCCTGTGAATAAAAAAATATATATGCAATCTTATTCGATTAAGTTAAAGTTCAAATTCCCTCAACACCTAACATCCCCTGTTCTTTTGTATAATTTGAATACGTTTTATTAGTTTGCGTGCTCTCCTACGAAGGGTTTGAGAGCAATTTTATTCCTCTTCATTTTTTTGTTATATCGGATGCGCACGCGCATGTAGTCGCGTATGAGAAGTTATTTGAATCAACGTGTTCTAAATGATTCAATCTGACTGATCAGCTGATCTTTGTATTTGTAATATGGTGTTATTTCTTAATATCAACGTATAAATTTTCCAAGTCACGTCATGTGATCTCGAACAGTCCACCTGCCACTAACGCCCGTTATTCGACTACCGTACAACGTCATACATTTTTGTTTAAATCTCAAACTTAATCAACTTAATATGTTTTGTAACATATCATATGTATATCTTTAGAACATATATATATATATAGTGGTAGGATCTGTATGAGACAATCGTCGTTTATAGAGACCCTTGCTAGCTTAGTTCACGTGACCGGTTGTAACTCCAGGGGTCAGTATAAAGTCGAACACCTGGTCCTAATATTTACATATCCGCTACTACGATAGTTCTTATAAAATCGAGATATTAGTGACATACAATATCACTTTTTAGACTTTATACGTATGATATTAATTTTTTTTTATATCAATATAATTTTGTATAAGGTGAGTTATTTAATATAATTTATTTTTCGTATGTATTTTTAGTGATAATCTATACTAATATAGTACATTCGATGAGTGACTTATTGTCGATAGTAATTCGTGAGAACCGATGGTAGTGTCCACGTCTCATACATATCAGAGTCACTGTAATAAGGACATTCGTATGCGCGGACCATCGACGTATTAAGTTACACGCATATTTCAACTAATTTCGATACAAACATACCACTTTTATAATATATTATGCTTATATAATTTTAATTAGACATATTTATACTAGTTTTTGATAGCAACTTCGTCTGCCACTTTCTTAGTCTGAAATGTATATGGACTAGGCGAACTCTATTCCTCCTTAAAGACAGTAAATAATATTTTTTTTTGGTTTTTCTATGTTTTTAAGCTAGCTAAAAAATAATTTTAATATTTGGGTCAAATTAAATATGAACGTATAATTATAATAAGTTTGATGAAAAATTTTATTTATATAAAACAATATTTAACATTCAATAAATATATCATTCTGTTCAAAACTTATACTTTAATAAATTCAATAGTACATATATACTAGTTTTTGCCCGCGACTACGTCTGGGTGAATTTCGGAATTAGTAATTAGAATTAGGAATAAGAGGCCGTTAAGTATTTTCTTTTCTTTTTCAATCGAACAGTATTAAATATCCTATGTCCGTCTCCTTGTTCTAATCTATCTCTCCACCAATTTCCATCAACCCGTACAGTCGTTCTTGAGTTATAAATAGTGTAACTAACACGACTTTCTTTTACATATAAAGATGTATATATTAAATATTCTCTATATAATCTTTATAATATTATAATATTTTTTCACTTCATCAAATGATAAGTTATCAATTATTTGACCACCGGCCACGCGTCCCGTGTTAGTGTATGTATGTTTGTCAAACACAATATTTGCTTACGAGTTAATGTACACATCTGATTATAAATCGTTGTTGGCTTATTTTATATCAAAAATATATAACTAGCGTTCCGCCCGCAGCTTCGCCCGCGTTGAGTTCGGTTATATCGCGTTTCCAAGAGAACCTTTCAAAAGTCTGGGATAAAAACTATCCTATTTTCTTTCTCAAGGTCAACTCTATCTCTGTACCAAATCTCATTAAAATCAGTTCAGTGGTTTAGGCGTGAAAGAGTAACAAACAGACAGACAGAATTACTTTCGCATTTATAATATTAGTAGGGATAAAATTATACATAAATATATATTAATAACTTTTCTGACAGATATTTTTTTACTTTAAAATATTGTCAACGAAGGTTAAAGTGGCCAATGATACTGAAGTGCAAATAAATACATTTTATAATAATAATAATATTTATAATATTTTAATGATTACTTTAGTCTCATTATGATTAAAATCAATTAATTTCTAAAAAAAATCTTTAACGACATTCAAAACTATCGCGAGTATTCATTCAAATAAAACTAATATTTTCGTATTACTCCGCGTTTTTTATTATTCTAACTACATACTCCAGATTTTTCGTTATTTCGCAGCAACCGTGATCACGGACAGATAAAATGACAGTCTCGTCTCGAAGTACATAATTTTATCTAAATAACGTCTAAATATATTTAAAAATTCTATAATAAATGTTGTCTTGTAAAAATATATCAAATTTAATATTTTGGGGGTCAACGAACCCTTAATACGAATGACAAACGTCACCTTGCTTAAATTCCATAGGTTTACCACTCTATTAAATTTTAATAAAAACATATACTAATTAATATTATTACTAAAAACGTTACTATAAGTAAGAAAAAAAATTAGCAAATAATACAAAAAAATTATATTCAAATTAAAACATATCACGCTTACTCTATGTTCTACCTCACACTACATACGTATAGTTTGCCGTTTGTCATTCAATAACCTACTTTAATACTATTTGATAATATTTATTAATGATAAACTGTTAACGCTACGTATTCAGTAAAATTCATACTTAGGGTTAGTATTTATTTTAAAATCATAATTTTCAAGTAATATATGTATAAGATAATAATATATGTTTTATACTTATATTAATTCGTTCGAGATTATAACTCACAACTAATTCTTGACCTGGAACCGCTGGTTACTTACCTGTGAACAAGAGAAGTCGGGTTATATATATAGTATTACTAACCTGTGTGTATGTTGATCACGGAAAACATCAAGAACTTTCAAAAAAATATATATTTTATAAGGGAGAAACTCGTAAGTATTATATATATAATTATAGACGCGTCAGTTTGTCCATTTGTTTGTTTGATATAATGCAAAAAATTAATAAATATATATATTTTTCACACATTTAACTGTATAAACATAACTATATTTGACGTACATACATATAATATAAGATTTTATCTTTCCGTTTAACTTGATTTGTTTTAATTAAATTCTATCACTATATGTAATCAAGACTAATATTTTTTAAAAAATAATCTAAAACACTATAATATAATACTACTTATAATAATCATTTAAAATTTTAACTATCAAGTTTTTACTCAGAATTGAACCTTTAAAATTACAGATAGCATCCACAAAGAGATTTTACATTAAAACTACTAAAGGGAACCAAAAATATAAATCGTGAGCGCCAAGGCTGTACCTGGTCCGAACATATGCCTTCAATCTTATACCGCCATTGTTCCTTAACTTAAAGGGATAAAAAAAATATATGTGGAGAAGCGTGGAACATCTGGCGGGTGACACCCCCGGACACCCCCGCGGACTGGGACAGGGATAGACGGGATGTATGGGATGGAGAGGGATAGAGCATGGGATTGTTGAACACCCTTATAGCAAAAAAAATCAAAAATTGGATGCGCACACGCATCTAACACCGTTCCGTTTCCGAATGCGAATGTATTTATTACTATCTATGTATATTGAAAATAATAAAATATATATATACAAAGTCACGAAATATTAACTAGTGCTTAACTATTATTAAAAATCATGTATTATTAAAATGAACAAAGACAATAAACAGTTTCAGAATACAAAACAACTACTAGTAATCCTATTTAGCGAATTCTCTAACACAGATAATAAAACATCTGTTCCACTGTAAAGGCGCGAAAAACAAACAGCGCATAGATAATGTTATATATCTGGTGTCATCGTTTCCCACGGGCTGGCAGGAAGCGTCGCCAACCCTAAGCTACCTTTCGAAATTCGAAATTCAAAAAAAAAAAAAAAACACAAAACCCGCATACTTTCATACGGGAACATCTGTCGTGTCTCCGTCCCTCTCTCTCTTATACGTCCAATGTATACATCCGTCCCTCTCTAACAGTGTGTCAGGTAGAACTTGCTGTTCACTTGCACAGTACATAGTGCAGTGTACAATTGACAAGTCTCTGACGGCTTCAACTATTGACGGAGAATTCACAATTATTAATTGAATTTTATTTTTATTTCAATAAATCCTTAAGAAAATTAAAATAAATATAAAGTGATGGTATTAACCAGATACAGCCGAGTTGAAATCAAAAATATACAAGTGTAAATTAACCTTTATTGTTTCTTAATTTCTGAACGAAATAAAAAAAATATCATAATATCATCTAATTTACATCGAAAATGTATAATTAATAATTATAAATATGTATATTTTTATAACAAATAAAATATCGATTAGTATGAAAAAAAAACTCCTATCAGACCGTAATGCGTAAGCATTCAAATTACCATAAAATAAAAGTCATGGAAATTATATCAAAATATATATACATATATATTATTTAATCTAATCACCCCATACAGTAGATCACTGGAACTCATTATATAACACACACGATTATCATCTTTATTTCCATACATATAAGTATTATTATAGTTTATTTGTATTTCTATGGTTATTTATGAACACATGAAGCGTATCATGGGGTCGCCCGCGCACCCCAACACAAAGCTCCGTCTCACTCACACTAGCGAGGGTGAAATAAGGCGCCTTACATACATGACGGTTTTAAAAACGATTCAAATTATATTATTATATAAATATTATTATTACAAAAATATTATTATTATTTTTTTATTTGTATATAGTAATTTTTTTAAGTACTTAAAAGTCCAGTGTATATCATACCTTATTGCCAACTACCCTACATTTAATTATTATTATTGACGTAATAACTTCAATCATCAAATATACAATATAATAAAATTTAGATCAAATTATTACTTTAAGTAATTTTCGTATTTTTCACTATAGAAATATCCTTTTTGATTTATCTCTTGAAATAAGTCAATAGCAACAAACTTAATCTAAGTTTGAAAGACATACTACATACTCTACGTTTTTCGTTTCACATTATATGAACTAAATAATAAATATAAAGAATTTTTAATAAAAAACTCTAAACTGCAAGTATGTAGTGTGATATTAACTTAGAATACAGTTTTCAACCAGATGTTTGACATAGACATGTATTATTATATATCTTTGCATAAATAAATTTAAATAATAAATATGATATAATACATAAAACAGGTTCATTATAATATGGATATATTAAATTACATATCATTGATATTAAATATTAATATATATTTTAATCGAATATATCTTAGTGTTCTTATAGTATAGCTTTATTTAATTGGAATAGTATATAAACATATATCTTCTTCTTCTTCTTCCTGGCAACCTCCCAGCTTTAGCCAGAGTCTGCCTGATATATATACTATTATTCGTCATTAAGAAGTTATGTTGAGATCAGTCAAATTATATATATATACATATAATGAAATATTATAACGCTTTAACATTAACTAAAACTAACAATTAAATTTTTTTTTCGACTATCAGAGCCCACTGCTGAGCAAGGCCTCTTTCTCACATGGAGAAGGTTTGAGCATTAATCACCACGCTTGCTCAAGACGGGTTGGTGATTTCAAACTTATAATTGTGAAACTATAAGTCCAGGTTTCCTCACGATGTTTTCCTTCACCGTATGTCAGTGATGTCTAAATACAAATTACAAATAAAGTACAAATGACTCCGAAAAATCAAATTGGTTCTAGCCAGTTCTCGGCAACGAGAGGCGAGCCCTTTAACCACTAGGCCACCACTGACTAATTAAAAAAAAATAATAATATATATTTGAACTGAATTATAAATACACATAATATATAAATTATATTTTTAATCAATAAATATTACACATAATATATCAATATTTTTAACATTGCTTTAAGCTTTAAGGGAGTACCTACTAATCAAATATTAAATTCATTGAAATTTAAATATATAGAAAAACTTGTGAAAACTAAAAGTTTCTTAATTGTTAATATATTTTAAGATAAATCTCATATTATCTACAACACACATTGATATCGTACATTAGAATATATGAAAGGCATAATTTAGATATTTTAAAAAACATTGATTGACCTGAATCAAAAAATTATATTATTTTGACTTCTAATAATATAGGCATAAGGTTGATATTACTTATTATGTATCATATAACGACTGGAAGGTATATTAAAAATTATCTTATATATATAATTATTATGGTTATATTAATAAATATAGATATTAGAAATATATTTGTAATTAAAATCTTAATTTTCACATTGATAAGGAAAAACTATAGGGATTCGAAGGTTTAAATCTTCAAGGTAAGTATTGTTATATATTATATAATTAAATATATAAAAAAAACAATTAATTAATAAATAAACAAAAACATATCGCTTTGATAGTAATTAAAAATTTCACAATTTTCGTCAATTTTAACACTAATGTTATAAGAATAACATTAGATAAATAACTTATTGTATTATTATAAAGTTATAAGTTGGCAGACCCTGGTTATAGCTGGGAAATTGCCAGGTAGAAGAAGAAGAATTACTATAGTTGTACTCAAAATCAATATTATTTAATTATTCTTGATATATAATTTTATCATTAGATTTCAAAAAAATAATCATTGATGTAAATCAAAAATGTGAGCGGTTAAATAAATGACCCCTGGGGAACACCCATTGAAAATACGACCCCAAATTTTTATTTCCATTCAAATTCACCATCTAATCATGTGATTTAAAATAACAAATGAAATTATTTTATGATCATTTTAATGCAATATAATTAAATTTATTTCCAATTTAAAATGTTTGATTTAATGAAATGCATTTGATAAGTAGGGATAGAAAAAGATTTAAATCTATATCACTCCAAAACAAATAAATATATATAATAGAAAATTAGTTATTTTAGAAAATAAATTTTATAATACAAATAATTGTAATGAAATAAGTAAAATATTTTTGGAAACATAGTCACATCTATTCTCTCCTTAGAAACTAATTCACGACAAAATTATTCTATCAATTATCATATATGTATTAACTAAATATACGTATAATCAAATTAATATAATATTTATTACATAAAAATATCAAAAAATTACTACAAGACAATTTTATCGTAACATGCATTCGATTATTTCGTATATATATTAAAAAAAAATAAAAAATAAATAAATCTATATGTTAGAATCGTGTTAAATCACAATAAATAATTATTTCCTCATATATATATACTTAATAATATTATTTTCATTGTAATACGACACCAGGTAGATCACCAATGAAGAATGGATACGTGCCCATACAAAGATGTACATCTAGTTGATAGAGCACGCACTGATAATATATAAAACTTCCGTATTATTAATTACTTTATATCATTTATTAATAATACATACATATATATTTAAAGTTTGTCTTTAAACAAAATGTAATTGTGAGTACGCTTAATTGTTTATTATGTTTTATATAAAAAAAATGCGAATGGAAATTGATATAGGCTAACATATATAAACCTATTTTTATCAATTATCTTTAAATTTTAAGACAAAAAAGAGAAACTACTTTATATAGTCATACTGTAGAACCTTTGTTATTTTTACGTTAGGAGTCAATTTCGATGTATATAAAATTTGTAGTATCAAATTCAGATACAATTTTTATATAGAAAAACCTAAAATATTATAACCAAAAAGAAAATTTAAAAAAATCTAAAATCCATAGACACTATATAATGTCACATAAAAATCGGGTGCGAAAACTAACAAGCCATGACATACAAATAGCAATTAGGACCATCCAAAAACAAAAAAAAAAAAAAACAAAAATTAATTTAGGTGCGACCAACAACAAAACAACAACACTATATAAAACCAAACAAAAACAACACACAACTCTAGCGACAACAGTATTTCATTCCTCTACTAGACGATAGAAGCTAGATATACGTCTGTCGTTCAGGGCTGTTCAAGTATTACGTAAGCACTATGGAGGGGTGGGGGGGGGGGAAATCTTTGCTTTGATTACTTTGGATGACATGGGGGGGGTAGGGGAGTCTAGGTGATGATTACGTCATCGGTAGTTATTTACTTTTTAATCATTACATCGAGAAGATCCATAAAAAAATACGCAAGCATGGGGGGAGGGGGTAAGAGCTTTGCTTACTTTTGCTGACATGGGGGTTGGGGGGGGGGGGTAAATATTTGTAATAAATTTGCTTACGTAATACTTGAACGGCTTCATCTAACTATATCTCACCCATTGAGGTGGTACGTCCGCGTGTTGGTGGTGTTGGTGGTGACTGTGCCGTCTGTCGGGCTGGTGGTGACCGTTGACAGCGGCGCACGAGGTCGCCGCCACGCCGTACTGACGTCACATACAAGGTTTATCAAATGGATGGGTGACCGCTACATACATACACACACTATCATATCCAATACAAAATAACGTACAAATGAGATCAAGATTTTCACGAGTACTCATTTAAATGAAACTAATATTATCGGATTTTTACTTCGCGATTTTATTTTTGATTAGAAACTTCATACTCCCGACGATCACGAGTGGTCACATCTCGTCTGTCCGTGATCACGGTTGCTGAAAAGTAGCCTAAACCTCGGGAGTATGTAGTTTATAATCAAAAATAAAATCGCGAAGTAAAATCCGAAAATATTAGTTTCATTTAACGTAGAAAGTTACCAATATAAAAATCTTTATAAGTATTAATACTTTCAATACTATTTATGTGGGTAGTTTGATATCAGTATCTCATATATAATACTTCAAGTCCACTCGAGGCTTCCAGTATCGTGAGTGGTGACCCTCTCTCGTGTACCATTTATTCTTAGCACTCACCCTGTATAACTTTTATTACCGGCGTAAGGAACTACTTGTACATTACGGGTAGTTACGAAAAACTACGACATAGGAAATAGTATAGGAAATTTAGTTTTAGCGTTTTTCTTATTAACCGACATCGAAGATTGTTTATACATATACAGGGTGACTGGTGAATTACTATCGATATTTGAGGACGTGATATTTGACGATCATATATGACAAAATAAAAAATAATATAACATAAATATTAATAAACTTCTAAGTAAAGTTAACCAAAAGTTATCTAATTAATTACGCATCGTATGAACACCCTACAGATTAGGTATACACTGACACTCACACATACGCGTGTCGTGACGTAGTGTTGTATCAGCACGCCGCCGCACGCGTCCACACTTGAACACTTGGAACGTGTCAACACTTTATTTATTTATACGGAAATTTTGTCAAAAATTAAGTGCCTATTTTTTTTATATAATTCGAATGAGAATCATGTACCGAGTATTCTCCTTAAATATTGATAGTAATTCACCAGTCACCCTGTATAGATTTAATTTCTCAACTAAGTAAAAAACATATACTATTATATATGTATGTATGTGTGACATTACACCCACACATATATATCCAGTAATGTACCTACACACATGTATGTGTTGGTATTAACTCCGCTGAGCGTCTTCAGTTTTATAGCCGACTTAATGTCTCTGTACAGTCACACACACAAGTGTTAAAAAATATATATAAATTTATTACATTACAAATACAACCGATAGAGGAACGGAGAATTATAAGAAACTAACTTCCGATTCAATTAATAATAATTTATTTATATTTAAGTCATTCGAAACAGAAATCGGTTTCAATAACCAACAATTATATTTCTATGGTTTGATAATTGTAGCTGTGATGCACAATTATCCCTACTAATATTATAAATGCGAAAGTAACTCTGTCTGTCTGTCTGTCTGTCTGTCTGTCTGTCTGTCTGTTACGCTTTCACGCCTAAACCACTGAACTGATTTTAATGAAATTTGGTACAGGGATAGAGTTGACCTTGAGAAAGAACATAGGATAGTTTTTATCCCAGACTTTTGAAAAGTTTTCTTGGAAACGCGATATAACCGAACTCCACGCGGGCGAAGCTGCGGGCGGAAAGCTAGTACTAATTATAAAGCGCTTCCCCACCCGACTGTACCTCCGGTATTAAAGACAGTACTTCCTCCCAGCCCCCTCCCACCCTTTCGTATTAGGGGGTACCTAAATAGGACAATTCAGTGCAGGATTGTACCTGCCTTGTATACGACGAGTTGTTCAGGATAATTGTTTAAATTAGTACATACGTCTATCTATCAGTGACTTTATTGGTCTATGATTACATGATATATATACATACATATAGTTTATACTATATATATATACACTAAAATCCCTACTAATATAAATGCAAAAGTAACTCTGTCTGTTACGCTTTCACGCCTAAACCACTGAACTGATTTTAATGAAATTCGGTACAGAGATAGAGTTGACATTGAGAAAGAACATAGGATAGTTTTTATCCCAGACTTTTGAAAGGTTCTCTTGGAAACGCGATATAACCGAACTCCGCGCGGGCGAAGCTGCGGGCGGAAAGCTAGTTAAATATATATTTCATTAACTTTACATAAATCATTAAAGGTTTTTACTTATATCTTATTAAAGAAAAGTAAAAATAAAATATAAAAATAACTAACTCATTGAAATAATGAAGTCTTGTTAAAGTGAATCCCATAGAAATTATTATTATAGTTAGTAGTAATAGGGAAAATATATAAATTTTCATTCACGTATTTGCTCTAAGATATAATTTATTGAAAATATAGATATTTACTTATTAGTTATTATTAATTCTCAAAGTGATGACTTTTAATGAATTTAAATAAAAAAAAACTACCAATATAAAAAATAAAACATAATTATATTGAGAACCGGGATATAATTATATAGGAAGAACAGAATTTAATTCTTTATGCTTTTAAGATGAATTAGATAAAGGATTACATATGATTTGACAACTACATATATAAAAACATACAACATATTACTGATATTTCTATTCAAACATGATGACATTAATATATGTATATGTTTGTTTTCCATACTACCTGTCCAGCTGTAATTAACGCTACCTGCTATATATATTTATCTATTTAATATATATATAAAAACACGTCCGAACATCTGTCGGTTGCATTCCTCGGTTCTCGTCTCACTAGATAGTAGTTTCGGTTGTATACTCGCGTTTTTTTAGATAGTTTGTAACCCTGACTTTCGTTGTGTTGCCCTGATTTCGATTACTTATTAATATATGTATAAAATTATGTTTTTATATTGTTCGTTGTATAGAAGGGTTGAAACTTTTGAGTATTGTTAATATTTAAATATTAAGAGGCTTATAGATTTTTTCTGAAGAATAAAACTCTAAAATAAAGTAGATATACATACTTCGATTTCAATAGAAGTAATATTTGTATTTACTATGTGTTGACCTATTTCACATCTTATTCACAAGCCTCGGTGGCGCAGTAGGCAGCGCGTAAGTCTCATAATCTTAAGGTCGTGAGTTCGATCCTCACCCGGGGCATATCTTTTTTCCATGTTTTATTTTAAAAAATATATTTTTTAATAAAATCTAAAATATATTACATTAACTTATAACCAAATCGAAACAAAAACATAATCGAATACCTATAAATCAGAATTTGCAAAAGTTTAAGCAAAAGAAATACCGCGAACCCAGAAAGGGTTAGGGCAGGGTTAGTTTTTAAGGGTCCATATATGCCTTGGACCGGTAATAAATCATTTCACCAAGGATTGGGACAAAAAATACTGTATGGGATTTGATACACATAGATGAACTAGCGAAACTAGTGTATTTTTTTTTTGTTTAAATTTATAATATTAGTGATTTGGATAGACTGTTCTAAAAAGTATTAATATTTGTATGTTTGTGCATACTTGACCAACCTTTCGTGATCTCCGCTGAATATACTCCTAAAAGTTTGTGCGTAATTTTAAGTCTTCTATGCAATAACACGGTCGAATCTTGTTATCATGAATATGTTGAAGAGACAAACAGTAAATCGAAGTTCAATTAGTACAAAATAGTTAAAATATATTACCGTTTTTTTGTTAAGCCTTTGGTTAAATTACAATAACCCCAATATATATTTTAATTAAAATGACGTTATCAATAATAATGGTGACGATTAAACGACTACAATAACTAGCTTTTAAGATGAATAAGACAACGATTAAAAAGGATAAAGCAAATTAGAATTATAATATGTAAAATATATATATATATGTATATGCCTTATGTAGTATATGATAGTTATCCACTCACCATTCCATTGTCCATCCCTCCATATGGTGACTGGTAGCCTGTTTTTTCTGTGACTGCAAAAAAAAATCAATAAATAGTTATATATATTTTAAAAGCAATATGATTACAATATTTTGTGTTCCTCAATCTATGTGAAATTCAGACGTGTTATGCCATATTATTAGCTGACTTTTAACTAATGGAGATTATGTTCTAAGAGGCGAAATGAGACCTCTCATCATTCCATGTATTCACGGTGCGTGTGTCGGGTCCATCGTTGTAGTGAGAGGAGCTTCAACAGTGACTGGGACTTGTGACCCAGGTGTAGGTTTAATATATATAGAGAGACGAAACCTCTCATCATTCCATGTATTCACGGTGCGTGTGTCGGGTCCATCGTTGTAGTGAGAGGAGCTTCAACAGTGACTGGGACTTGTGACCCAGGTGTAGGTTTAATATATATAGAGAGACGAAACCTCTCATCATTCCATGTATTCACGGTGCGTGTGTCGGGTCCATCGTTGTAGTGAGAGGAGCTTCAACAGTGACTGGGACTTGTGACCCAGGTGTAGGTTTAATATATATAGAGAGACGAAACCTCTCATCATTCCATGTATTCACGGTGCGTGTGTCGGGTCCATCGTTGTAGTGAGAGGAGCTTCAACAGTGACTGGGACTTGTGACCCAGGTGTAGGTTTAATATATATAGAGAGACGAAACCTCTCATCATTCCATGTATTCACGGTGCGTGTGTCGGGTCCATCGTTGTAGTGAGAGGAGCTTCAACAGTGACTGGGACTTGTGACCCAGGTGTAGGTTTAATATATATAGAGAGACGAAACCTCTCATCATTCCATGTATTCACGGTGCGTGTGTCGGGTCCATCGTTGTAGTGAGAGGAGCTTCAACAGTGACTGGGACTTGTGACCCAGGTGTAGGTTTAATATATATAGAGAGACGAAACCTCTCATCATTCCATGTATTCACGGTGCGTGTGTCGGGTCCATCGTTGTAGTGAGAGGAGCTTCAACAGTGACTGGGACTTGTGACCCAGGTGTAGGTTTAATATATATAGAGAGACGAAACCTCTCATCATTCCATGTATTCACGGTGCGTGTGTCGGGTCCATCGTTGTAGTGAGAGGAGCTTCAACAGTGACTGGGACTTGTGACCCAGGT